GTGCTAACATGCAAAAAAAAAAATAACTGAGTGCCACAGAGGACCAGATATCCCTGTTGTCAAGGTCAATGAAGCCTGTGAGCATCATAGGGGTGAGACATTCAAAACTCCAGGGATCAAGATTAAAGATGATATTAGCAGAAGCAGCAGAGCATCTTGTTCTTCAGCAAGAGGTTTAATGCTTAAAATGCTGCCCTAGCAACTGATGCACAGCCCAAAAGCATCAGGTAAGACAGAACTAAAAGGTAAAGTGATAGGCAGGTAATGGACAGTATAGTAAACCAAGGAAATTAGAAATTATATTTCCCTTGCAATCATTTAACTACTCAAAGATATCTAGGGGTGCTAACTCCTAGTTCTCAACTTCTTGGCTAATTAATTTTTTCCCATTCTAAAAGCTTCATTTTAATTAGCTCCCAAGTTGAGCTGCTATGAAGAGGTTTTATTTTCATTGTCTTTTTTCTATATGTAAAAAACAATTACTTCAAAAATATGCACTCATTAAAAATAATTAGTGATTTTTGATACTGCTAAAATAGGCAAGTGACACAGGAAAAATAAGTTGTTGGGGTTGTGTCATAATTTAGTTGCTTAGTATCACAACAGAAAAAAAAAAAAGAAACATATATTTAAATATCAGAAACCATCCAAGTAGATTAAGTCTTGAAGTCACGAGTGATTAAAGAGAAACTCAAATTCTTTAGTCAGACAATGGATAGGTGCTTACAACGGCTGTCACAAAACACTTTTCATAGTTGCCTTCATTACAGCTTTGAATTTTTCATTCCATAAGCTACAGCACAAAGAGCCATGCGTAACACAGTTGATACCATAGCAAAATGTGAAAATAGCATAACTGTCAATTCATTCCTCACATTTACATAGTTGGTTTAGCCTCCAATTAGGATGTTCAGAGTTATAAGTACGTACAGAAGTAAACTTTTATATCAATTTGTGTCTGTACCAAATGCATCTGTTGACAAGATAGCAATTACCATGGATTAAAAATGAAGTCCATGAAATGTTATGTTACATATTTGAAGATTATGTAGCAGTTTTTTAAATTACTGATGCCTTTGATATAAGCCTTGCCTTGAAATATGAATGTTGTTACCAAAAATAGAAAATGAAACCAGGGAGACAGAAATTTCCATCTTTTTCTTTTATATCTCCTAACTAGAAAATTCTATTTTATTATTATTTTAACCAGGCAAAACACAAGAAGTATTTTTCTAAACTGGATCAAACCTTTTGCTCATTAAGAAATACCACAGTCTTTATTGAACTGAAGTGTATCTCACATAAGGCAATTCATCAACCCAAATACAGGTTTAATCAAATACAGGTTCAACTTAAAATTTACCAGTGCCAGTGACATCAACAAATACAATGCCTTTGATTCTGGAGTTCAATGACACTGTTCTAATTAACACAAATATATGCTTTAGTTATTTCTCTGTAATTCTCAGCTTTGTTGCTGTTTTCTAAAGAGAAGCATGATAGAATATCCCTATCAAAATATTCAGGTTATCACTTGATTCAATTCTACTTAAAGTCTACAGTTTTGCAACCAATTTACATTTAGCATTCATTTCTCATGCATGAGTTGACCCACTTACACATGCAGTAAATCCATGCCTTTGGGGATTTTTCTGGATGGTTTGCTTTATTTCCACCACACAACTCATTTTATTTTGTCAATACAGTGAGTAAGGTTACAGTCATCCTGTCAAATTTATTTATTTAAATTAGAATCAGAAAGACTATATTACCCCCTGTGGAACTTCACTGAAAATTTTTTGAAACTTTGAGGTTACATAACTTTTGTAATCAACTAATTTCAGATGAAAACAGTGATACAGAAAAAATAGGCCACAGTTACAGCAACTTCTTCTGTAAACTTATAAAAGACTTCAGAAATCTTAAAAAAATATAATCAACCACATTAATATATATCATATTTTACATGCTTAAAAAAACTAGACAAAAGAGATCTTTCTAAGTAAGCCTATAGAATAAAGTCAGATGGAATAAGATCATTTAAGAAGCAGCTATACAGGCATCACATCAGCTTGCTTTGACTACCAGAGATACACTTTACCTAAAATATTTCCCCTTGCATCTCTGAAGACAGTTTCAGCTTCACATTTGAGAGGTTTCTTTGAGGTTACTTACCATCCTCACAGTGGGGCTGCTAAAAGGGAGCCTTCCCCACACAGAAATTGTCCCAAAGTCACATGTTATTCAAGTCCAAACAGACTTGTGTCTGACAGACAAGCACTTCCACTTTATACAATTTGCTAATGTGGAGTTTCTCTCTCATGTTAGTAGCTCACCTGAACTTCAGTATACATTTGGGGTTAGTGTTTCAACGGACTTACCCCAAAGGCCTATCTGAATTCACACATCTCATGTTATTCTGGGCAGTATGGGATATAATAGCCATTATAAATCCTTATTTTTAATGCTAGCAGTTTTTCCAAATGCAGTTGCCTCTCTTGGGCAGCGGTTTGTTTTCCAGCTTCTCAATGACAAAATGCTTCTGTGAAGAGTTATGCACCTTTCCACCTGTCTTACAAAGGAAGCAGCCTCATAACATCACTCTTTCTCCCACTGGACCAGGTAGTTGACCTTCAGCAGGTGAAGAATGTCACCTTTTTAGGGATATCTGTTTTACTACCCCCATGGAATATGGCCTAATACAACAGTTACACACTGATGCAAACTGAACATCCACATGCTCAGCAGACCTTTTACCATAGTCAAAGTTACCTAAATTATTCAATTCCACCTGTACTGACAGATTCATACATAATGATTGTAATGACTAAGTAAGATTCCAAAAAGTACCCTTCAACTTGGCATTTCGGGGTCTAAAAATAATGTTTCTTCCCTCATGTTGGGAGCTACTGTCATGTGTACCACGAAGGATTTAGAAAGAGAGACCAAGAAAGAGAATCTGAAAAACTTATGGGGACAGAAAAAGAAGACAGTGCCACCCCTGACGAATCATGAACACATTGTTCTGGATTCCCAGTAATCTTTTCCAGCTTCTCAACAAACAGCTGCAAAATTCCCTAGCAAAGGCTCTGTGCCCCTCTACCTCTAATGGAAGGCTCACACAGAAGATAATGGTTTACTCTAGGTGCTACTTACTGCATTAGCATAAGCACTTTAATCTCTGTGTTTTAGTTCTTCATCTAAATAAGGTCTGCATAAAAGGGGTTTCCAATACCTCCTCATTTCTTAGGCAACTCTGACAACAATGTAAATGAAAACCACTAAAGAAGTGAGAAAGAAGCTTTAGAAAAACTCCATGAAGAAGTTACAAGTTCCTTTTACAACATTTTATAGTGCATGGAATATCATACCATACAGTAAATAAACAATAAATGAAAGAAAATATTAGAAAGCTGAACATTTGGTGACTATTGTTCTACAGAGGGATCACAGCAGGAAGAAGTAACAAAGCACCATGCCGTTAAATAACTTCAGACTTTTTATTGAAAGCATAGGTAAAGAATTCATATACATAGGGATTAATTTAACACTGTCTTTTTTAACTTTGCATAATGCTTTGATAATGATCAGTAAAGAAAGATCTTTTTTTTCTTTTTTAATTAGAATACACACTGAGGTTTCAAATGCATTCTCAAAGGTTTCAATTTTTAGCACAGGTTCTATCTAAAATATTACTTACATTTCCACAGATTCATCATTTCTTAAGCATGAGTTCAGTCATTTTCACAAAATCACAGAATATGCCGAGTTGCAAGGGACCCACAAGGATCATTGAGTCCAACCCTTAGCGCTGCACAGGACCACTCCCAAGAGTCACACTACATGCCTGAGAGTATCATCCAAATGCTTCTTGAACTCTGTCAGGACCGTTTCCCTGGGGAGCCTGTTCCAGTGCTCAACCACCCTCTGAGGGAAGAACCTTTTTCTAATACCCAACCTAAACCTCCCCTAACGCAACTTCAGGCCATTCCCTCAGGTTCTGTCCCTGGTCACCAAAGAGAGGAGATCAGTGCCTACCCCTCCTCCTCCTCTCACAAGGAAGTGGTACAATGCAATGAGATCTCTCCTCAGTCTCCTCCAGGCTGAACAGATGAAGTGACCTCAGACACTCCTCATATGGCTTCCCTCTAATTTATGAAAGCTTACAAAATATGAAAGCTATATAAAAATCTGCAAGTACTACTCATGGTCATTAAAAAATAATGTGATTCTTTTGCTAAGTCATTTCTAAAGCATTTATTAGGACTCTATCTTTAAAGGTAGAATGATTTCTGCTTACTGAAAATGGGAAGTCAAAAAAACTTCAATACAGAAATATTAGAAAGTCAAAGGACCTGGGGCTTCTCAGAATTTCCATTTCTAGGTATCCGTACAAAGCAAGCTTGGAAGATCAATCCACAAAAGGAACAAGGTTGGATGTGAATCTATGGATGTGTGTTCACTGCAAAGGAGAGCGGTAGGAGCTCCACCTTCTTGCACAGATGCCCTCATATTAACAATAGGAACTACATATTCAACCTCCTTGTTTCCAGTCAGAAAAAAATGCTGTTGAAGGCAACTGATAGATGCTTAATCACATGAGTTATATGCAGCATGTTTGCAGTGCAGCTGTGTGGAATTAAGCCTACAGCATATCAAATAATGAATAGCTCTCAGAGTTGTAGTTCATGTTAAACTGTCAGAGGAATCAAGGGGAGCAGAAGGCAATCGGTACCATGGTGCATCCAGCCTAACCCATATGCCACGGACATGAAGCAATTCAGGCACTGGTCAGCAAGTGCTTTTCATCTATGTTAGTAGACACAATTGTCATACATGACTAAATGCTTATTTTTCAAGTGAAAAAACAACACCATAAAAGTCATGCTTAGGAATACAAGGACAGTCAAATAAAGAACGAATCACTTCAGAAGCAGTTAAAACCCCAGCGTTGCCCAGAACAGCATAAGCTCTTTTTGTATGCGATTTAACATGCTTACCCAGTCTCTTTGTTGATGGTTGGTTTGATGGGTGGTTGAAATGTAGACATTGATGTTGCTGTTATTTTTTCCTGTTCCCTATTCTTCTCCTTCTCTTCAATTCAATGGAGGAAAAAAAGCCATTGGAGACAAGTATCTGCAGGCTTTGCACTGCGAATCCTAGAAATGAAGCCCTGGGCCATGTTAACATCTTCTCTTGCCAATTTTCTCTACAATCTGTTTTAGCAATTTAAGAGATCATTTTGTGTTTGAGCAAGTAAACAGGTTGAACAGCTCTGCCAATAGCTTCCAAATAGGGAGCCATGGCTCATTGTCTGTTAAGGACAGTTTCTAATTTCAGATGTGCAGATGTGCACAACTGCAGTAGCAATATGTTTTGTGTTCTGCTTTAGTTGCTACTGAAGACATATTTTTATTACATTTGAGGTAGTATCCAATTCCTTATCATTTGTGCCTTTATCCAGATAACAGGTGTTTAGTTGATTCAAATTATGAGGGAAATCCTGCCCTCTGCTGCATCCCTGAAGCTGTATAATTTTAACTGGCGGTAGAATGTGACCCTTGATACTGAAAAGAAAAAAAAAAAAACACCATTCACCATATTTCATTAAAGACATTGAAAGACAATTAACAAACAGCTTTTCTCACTAAAATCCACATAAAACACTTTCAAAAATGCTTCAAGATTCTTATGCTCTCTCTCTGCAGCCAGTATAGGCTTCACTAATTTCAGTGAGGAGTTTAAGTCCCGATACAAGGGGGAGACACTCTCTTACCCTATAGGGGGGTGATTCAGTGACCTTCCCTTCACTAAACTCTACTGTCCTTCCAAACTTCTTCACCAAAATAGGGTATCTTGGAAACGTGCTTTTTAAAGCAGATTTAATCTGTTTTCTTATTTTCCTTCTTTGCATTATCATACAGTTTTCATTTCATATACAATCCAAACCTACTGGAAAAACGAGTCACATATAAATAAATGAATTGTGGTACTTCATTTTGCTAGTTCTCAAAGGCAAGAAGGGCACAGATGTGCCGTGCTTCTTGCTCCTACATGGCTTAATTTCATAACAGCATTAATATGGAAGTGAGAAATGCCTTTACATGGGCTCTCAAAGCAACCAGGGCAACCACTGTGAAAGCTTCCATGCATCCTTCGAGCCATACAACCAAGGCAGCAACCTCTACTATCCAAGCACTGGCCTTATCTTAATGAAAGCTTCTCACTCCAATTTGTACGGACACCTGTTTTCTTTTATACTTTGCAGACATTTACCAGGAACAGATTTAAGAAAGAGCAGCTTATTTCACCTAGGATAAAACATACTTCAACTCATATAGCTAGACATAAAAGTGCAGTGGCAGTAAGCTGCAGCTCATTGCTGCAAAACACTGAAAGTGTTCCATTTCCCTAAAGAAAATATTATTATATTGAGTTCCTACTTCCTCATTTAGCCAGTGTCATGACAAATCAATAATCTTTTGCCATCATCTTTAATTATTCTGTTCTTTTTGCCACCTTAATTTTTTCCTTGCAAAACCAGAGTGCAGTTAGCTTATTTGCAAAATCACCTATAAAAATACATGGTATGTTTTTCATTTTGAGAATATTCACATTCATATTGAAAATCTCTCAAAGTTCAAGACGAACAAAAACCACTGCAAGGTCCTTTAACAAAATTTACACATTTCTCTGTGTGAACAGTATATGTTTTTTGTAGTGACTACATATTCAATGCTAAAAGCATGTTGTACATCAGCAGAACTGGGCTTTTAATGACAAAAAAACCCATGAGATACTGGCGTACGTTTTATTCTTTTCTATGAAACTGCATTCTGGTCCTAATACTTCCATTGTGACATAAAATTAATTCCATAACTTCGGTCTAAGTCTTCAGAAGCAGGGTTGCTGGTGGTAAAATAGCAAACAAAATCCAACACCCTCTGCCAACCCACTCTCCTTCCACTCCTCCCATGATGCTTTTTCCTCACAAGGTTTATATTCATAGCATAAGAGATTCTTTAAAAAGTCAGAGAGCACTGTGTTAATATTAATGTATGATGTCAAACTTAATATCAGGACAAAAAACACAATATTTTAAAATTATTTATGCTAATTAACATCTATTATCATTAGTTTTATTTTTTTATTTATCTTTATCAAGAATATCTACACATTTAACTGTGCTCACTTACCCCTTCAATGAAGTTGTCACAATTTTGGTTCAAATAGGTTCTTTGAGAAGTATCTAATACTTCAAGGTGAAATCAAAACAAAACTGAAAATTGAATAGATATGTTAGTATTCTTCCATTTTTCTATATATGAAAAGTAAAATTAATCTAAAATTATTAAAGTGCTTACCTTTCAGTGTCTTGAAACCTTAATTAGATCCTTAGTCGATGACATATACTGCTTATCTGATAAATACAGAAACTACTCTGTGTGGAATGCATTTCTATAATACAGCGGTTTTCTAATTAGATTCAAGTTGTGGCCTATGCAGAATTATTTTTCTAGGATATAATGCTATAAATGAATTCATTATTTTAGCATAAGCAGAAATGAAATGCAACTTCTTTTATCATGCACATTTTAAAATTCCATTTTACACATCAAGATTAATTCTTTATCATAGACTTCCTTACTTGGAATCTGTCAGCTGCATACATAGAGAAGAGAAAACAACTCTGTATTGTTAAGATTGGATAGAACAAATCTAGATTGTTAAGACTGGGTGGTTAAAAATGAAGAGACAGGAGTGGTACATGCAATCACCAAGGAAAAAAACTGAAATAAAACCATTTTTCACATTTAAAAAAGCTATTTCTGAGACCGAAAAGTCAGATAGGTATCTTTGGTTCAGGAACCGGACAGTATCCTAAGTTGTGCTAGAAGAGAAACCCCCTTGATCCATTGAAACATAGAGATAGGAAGAAAGCTCTTTCCCATGTCACAAAACTACTTGTTTGTTTTTATCATCTCCTTTTCCCACAACAGAAAACCCAATACTCTTTGAACAAGAGAGAGATAAAGAGCATGCAAGTGAGCTGTGTCATCCTGTTCTGCAGTCTGATGGTGAGGGTACTGGGCTTGGGATATCTAATTAAATTTCTTGGCATGCCAGTATCCAAAACTGAGCACCACAGGCCTGCTGCAGGGTACTCGTCTCAACCTCTCCTAACAGAGCAGACCCGTGTGAGGGATTAAGTATTCATCAGAGCATTGCTCGTTTCATCTCCTTGATGCATTCCAGAGCTACCCCATGCAAAAGAATCACTCTTGCTTTAGAAACCTATATAGGTCACGAGAGGACCTCATTTAAGTTCCTGGTCTGAAGAAAAAATACAGCTGATTAAAACCAGGGACTTGCTGAAGTTTCCCAGATCCCAAATGGAAGTCTTAATGGCCATGCTTTTTGCCACTCTGAAGAATACATCTTCCCCTCTTACAAACCAGTAATTTCAGTTAACTCGGCGTGAACATAAGAGATGAGCTTTTGTTCTCATCTTATCTATGCACAGGAGCATTTGCACATCTCTTAAACTAACTGTCCTCTCCGTTGACCAAGGCTCCAGGAAATAAGCCCAAATTTTTCACCTCTAAGAGCAGCTGTGGACATCAAAATCTTAACTAGTCAATGCTTTGGCAAGAATGGTACATCTCCATTGCTGTGAAAAACTAGTATATTTCATTGATTTCTTTTTTCCAATAATATATCAACCTGAAAAAAGTTTTTTCTTTCAAGTAAATAAATTCCATCATTTTCTTCTGATTATACTTACATTGGGTGTTTCTGATGCCATGCTGTTATTTTATTACCACAGAGAATGATTCAAAAACATTTTCCCAAAATAATCCATGGGGACAAGTTCTTGTAGCAGAAGAATGATCAGGAGGAAAGCCAAGACAAGCTAATAGTATTGATTCTGTATCACTTCTAGCTCACACTAGTTCTTACCTATTTTATATATATCATAACTCGAACTACATACCACCCAATATTCCTTCATGCAGTGAGTTAAACATGTTATGAAGGAATACAACGCAAACAAATAACTTTCCTAGTGAAAGACAGTCAATAAGTCAGTAAAAATATAATTAAAAAAGAAAATAGTAAGTCAGAAAAGGTCCCATTTTTTAAAATCTGATTCCTGTAAGCTAATGAAACACATTAAGTTTTGCTATTTGCCATTTCTTTCTCATCTTGCAGAACATTGTCTTGCATGTATTTTCTTTTAAAACTCAGCATCAAAATTTTATCTGCTTTTAGAAAACTCCATCTTGCCAGTTATGCTATTTTTTTCAGTTTTACAGCCCCTGCTAAAAAAGAGACAAAACTGTATAACTTACATAATTTATATAGTTTATATGTAAATTAAATTTACAAAAGTATTCTTACTCACTGTCAAATCTATCAGAAAAGGAAAAAGTGTCAAACCATTTTAATAAAGAAAATACTTTGAGCATACTCGCTGAAAGCTGGAGAGGTGAACACACGTTTCCAATGTGCTGTACAAGTCCATGGTATACAGTTACACACACTTCAAAATCAGACATACACAAATTTATCACCAAAATCATATTCTTCACTCACACAGACTTCATCAGAAACACCAACAAACATACTTAAACACACTAGTTCTCCATCTACAATCACTTGAGGTAGCAGTCACATACATTACTGATTTGTTCCTGTGTCCTTTTCAGTCTTTGTAACTCAGGCGTATCAGTCACAATACTGAACCCTCTTCCTTTGCTTTCTTCAAAGTCTCTTTTGTATTTTACCTACAGAATAGAAAATACAGAAGAACAGGGTTGTTTTCATTTTCCATAATTTGCCCCTAGCAATCTAGCAATTCTTTTTTACTGTAAATAAAGGACTTGTAAATAAAGCTTTCAGCTTTTAAAGGAGAAGCCTGATTTCATCCACTAACAGAGATAGGCAGCAACTGGACAAAACTCCCTAGTGCCTGAGCAACTGCCTCCTCTGGGGGTGCCACGGGCTCACCTCCACGCATACTGCAGCTGTGGAAAGATCAGTCTGTGGTCATTTCATTCTCAGAGCAGCTACCACAGAACTATAGACGCCCGCACAGCATCAAGCAAGCACCTATACTCGCACAAAAAAATAGCTATAACTAAATTTGGAGGACTTCTAATACACAGCTTCCCATTTCACCCTCTCTTCATGATTATTCTATCAGTCTCTTTCCCTGTTGAAACATAAATTACACATTAAAAAATACTGCATGAAAAGAGTATTCAGAATATCATGAAGTCAAACACTGTTAAGTTAGGGAATGGTTGCCTGTATAAGCTTAATTTTTCCCTCTTGCACATATGCATTCAGATATTGTCTTTAATCAGGTACTCATCCTTTGACATAACCTTTGACAAGGCCCCCTGCTTTATTCTCTACACAGCAGAGATGATTCCATATGCAGTTGTATCTTTTTTTCGGACCAGACTATACAAATCCTACCATCAAGGCAGGAATATTAGTTTTATCAGGATCTTTTATACAGCTCTCATCACATTAATCAATCTTCATAGTGCACCCTGGAAAGTGGGAATGGCAATATCCATGCTTCTAGGGCAATGTGCAAACTGAGGTGAAATGAGCTTAATTTCCAAAAACACACAGGGGTCTCAGGGTGTTCACTCTCAGATTCCTAACAGTTGAATATGTTCAAATTATGGACTTTGAGTTACAAATACCCAGTACTTCTGCAAAATCAGTCTTGGTGATCTCAGTTTCAACATAAAGAAACAAGATATATTAAGTCACTGTTGAGCAACAGACAAAACTCTGCAGAGTCAGGACCCATCTCTCCCTGGATGGATTCATCTATCTTACCCATATAAACTTCCTTTTACTTCCTATGTCTCCTGCTTTATTCACTACACACATCCAGATTTTGCAGCACCTGGGAGAGCATTAGTACAAAGCAGGATTCTCCTTCACAAAACTGATAACCAGAAAACATTCAGCACATGTACAAAGTTCAAGGTTGGCTTAGGTTTATTTTCCAAGCAAGTACCTAATGTTATGATGGTCATGCACAGGAAGAAATGCCTCTAGATTATGAACATTAAGTTTCAGAAGGCTATAGGATAGAGTTTGTCCTCCCCATCCTAAATCTTAATGAGGATGTTAATAACCTTTGCGTTTTCTTTAAATGGCATTTTAGCATATATCATTGTATGTAGCTCACACGTAAGCCCATCACACAAATCCTTGAGACACTGCAGTATGTGACCTGATCAATGAACCATTTTTCCTATGTTCCACATTTAGAGGCAGCTGTAGATTTCACACAAGTATAATCTTTTCACACCACCCTGAGGCAAAGGAAACAGCACTGCCACTGGGGCTTTTGAGAAAACCATGGGTTGGCTGGCCCATGCCTTTCTGTTCATCTCCCCCAGGTTCAACTCCTCTGCACCTTTCCTTCCATTTGACCACTGTATTCAGGTATCACTTTGTCTCCTAAATTTCTAAACTACACTAGTCCGTCTCTCCTTGGCTTCTTGCTAAATCCCTTTATCCAAGGCGCTCCAATTTTCATTGCCTATTATCTCCCTTCTATCAAATGACTCTCCATCTTCCCGCTGACCCTCAGAGGATTCCTTAAACATATTATTCCAGGACTGCTGCTAAGAAAGAGGTCTTGGAAGTATCTGTAAACTTTCTTTATTTGAAGTCATACAAAACTTTACCAAAATTGGACAGACTTCCATGGCCAAGGACACGTACCTAACAAAAAAGACTTCCATTTCAGCAAGCTTCAGCTCCTCAGCCCTAAATGCCAAGAAAACTGAACTGTTAAACAACTTAACAAAAAAAAAAAAAAAAAATTAACCCCACTTGTTAATAATTCCAAGGGAACAAAAGTTTATCCTAGTCTCAGCCTTGGGAACTGCTAAGTATTTTGCATAAAAATTCCACATTTGACCCGAAGCAGGCAGCTGACATGAAAATGCTCAGTCTTACTATTTAAAGTTTACCAGAATTATGAGCAAGTGAACACATCTTACAATGAGAAATGGGCTTAGCCCTGCCTACAAGAGAGATTACCTATTCTTAGAAAGAGCATTTCCTGCTATTAATTCCAAATGTTCTAGCCATTAACTTCAAATGACCTTTATTCATCTTACAGAGGAACAGAAGAAGAAGAAAGGGAGGGAACTAGATAGTTTTAACTTAATATTATTTTAATCCTTCAGTCAGATAAAAAGGGCTTCTACTCTCTATTAATAAATCACTTGACAAGAGTAAGGTTAACTATAGTTCTCAGAGCAGCTACTCTGAAACAATAAAAAAATTATTTAAAACATTAGTAGAGTTAATATATGCATTATTGGATTTTGCTATCTAACTTCAAAACGTAGTTTTGAGTTATAAAAATCACAAAGAAACATAATAAATCATGAAGATCACCACTCTGAAATGTAGCCCACTAAAACTACTAATTAGCGTAAGTTCAAAAGACAAAACACCTCAGTTTCCACAAAATGTGGACATCAGTCATTTAGAACTTGGATCTAAACACAACTCTTATTTAGTATCAAGAATTAATATGAATGAGGAGGGAACAAAACAACTGCTGATTGACTCCCAATTTCAGATAATTTAAAAGTTCAAGTTTTGCTTGACCAGAAAACTTTTAGTAACTACAAAATCTGGGATTAAAATGCAAATTAATTGCTTTAAACAAATTTACAGTAGAAAAGAATATTCTGTACAGGAGCTGTAAAAATCACTATAACAATTGACTTAACCACATACTGGGTCTGTCTGGGATGGAGTTAAATTTCCTCATAGCAGCCCATATAGTGCTATGCTTTGAATTTGTATCTAGAACAGTGCTTTGGCTATTGCTGAGCAGTGCTCACACAGACTCATCCCTAACCTCACCCAAAGACCAGTAGGCTCGGTGTGGGTGAGGGACTGGGAGCTGACACAGCCAGGACAGCTGACTCAAACTGACCAAAGGGGTATTACATATCATAAAACACCATGCTCAACAGCAAAAGCAAAGGGGGAGAGCAGACTTCAGTGATTAAGGCATTTGTACCAGGGCCCTATTTCCCAGGAAGTGGCTGGACATTGCCTGCTGATGGGAAGCAGAGAATAAATTTTGCTTTTGCTTTGCTTCTGAGGGCAGCCCTTGTATTTAAAAAAAAAAAAAAAAAAGAAGGTTTTTATTGTATTTTCTCCCTCTGTCTTGCTGAGGAGAGGGAATAAGAGAGTAGCTTGGTGGGCATCTGGCAGCCAGCCAAGATCAACCCAAACGGGAACTCTTGAAATTTAGTTTTGAAATGGAAATGTCAATAACCCCTAATGAATGAATCATAAATGCAGTCATTTCCTACAAATACAATTTTCAGCAACTCCTCACCAAAATCCCAGCCAGTGGTTCATAATGCTTCCCTCTTGGCTCCAAAATTGAGTGCAGTCTCACAAATGCAGAGCACCCTCAGTGGTGACTACCCTGAAAAATTGATCCTTTGAGAGACAATGTGTGGCATAAACATTAGAAGTAAAACTGTAATAAATCACCATAAATGAAACAGTTTTAAGAGAAAATACTTCATGAGAAGTAATTCTGCACCAACTCACAGTGAAAGGAGTAAGTGATCCAACAGATCTTTAACAAATCAAACTTCTCATATTTGTGACATCAGCAAGAGATGTCACACTCATGACATCTCATTTAGAGACTCAAAGACAGGATTGTGTAAATCCATCCATGAGGTCAGCATGAAGAAGCCAGAAGGTCCATCTTACACTGTAGGACAGAGGGTCTATCTTACTCGGTACATAAAATATTATGCTGAGAAAATGCTGCTTATTTTTTTCACAGGTACACTTGGTACTTGGCAGCAAAGCCACCTATTAGCAAAACAAGATTAATTTTTCCTGGGAAAAATACTCTGAAAATATAAATGGACCCTAAAAGATTGATTATACTCTTGGGGTTTTTGGCACCTACCCTTAGTCCAGACTGATTTGCAATACCAGAAGTACATATTATTTGAACAAACAACACAGGAGTCCAAAAACACCAAACAAAAAAGCAGAGCAAAAATACAATATGGTGGATCCTCATACTCTTATCCATCCCATCCCTATCAGAAAGTTACTCAGCTACTACAAAGCAAACATTAAATCACCAAAAGCTAAGGCAGTGTTAAAGTTAGTTTCCTGTACAGTCCCTTCTCCACTTCCCTGTACAGACCAGGTAGTTGTGTAGTTAAATCTCCTTTCTTATTCTGACACACTGCATAGCCCCACAGATTGGCATCATCATGCCTCACATCCAGCAAGGAAGGAATAAGCACGGTAGAATGGGAGAATAGGACCCCTCACACCCACATTTGCCCAGAGAGGAATCTTCATAGACCTACAGTCTTTACCACACCCTGAATATTTATGAATTTGTTTCAGTATGTTATGTTTGAGGCTTGCCCAAAGCCATCTGCTCCTTCTGTGCCCAGCACACACAACTACCTCCCAAAGGTCACCATCTGCTAATACACTGGTTTTCACAGACTGGCAAGAAATCCTCTCCCACAGTAAAGGTCCTAGAGGCACATCTTGGCAAAGATGCCTTTGTTTGGTTCTGCTTATTTCATAGAGCACATAGTCTGCTGATTTTGCCTT